CCCCCCCCCCTTCTCCCCTGCACCATCCAGATTTCCCATAAGGAATGTGCTTTGGTGTAATTCATCACTGGGCCCATACGACAAACCGCTCGTTCTGCCGGTGAAATATGAGTCAGCGAGGGGAGGCATTTTCACACGGTAGCCGCACTGAATGGGGGTATTATTTTGGCAAGCTCCCACAAGATACTCCGACACCTTTTTTTTTTTTTTCTCTTTTTTTTCCCCTGCTCTTGCAACACGCTGTTTATCAAACGTCTCTAGACACGGGAGGCACACAATAAACATCAACTGCCGAATTACAAGCTTTGATTTCCGGCACATTACCGTGTACCATAAAGAAAAAAAAGGTGCAGGGAGGGAAAAAAAGCAAAAAGAAAATACAAAAACACAGCACTTCATCTTGCTGTAATAACACGGCTGCTTATGAAGATGGAGGATGACAAGAGCATACCTGCCCGAGAGAGTGAAGCTGAGTGATAGCATTCATGCTCGGGGAAGGGATGCAGAGCCTAGACGTTACTCTTCTAATGAGCTGCTTCATGTAGAAAACCGCTTTTGATTTAACCAATTTGGAAGCTGGCAGGAGTGCCCCCCCCCCCTTTATGTAGCTGCTCATCCAACGTTCCACTCTCATGTCACATCGAGTCGTGCCGAAGTGCGTATTTCCGATGATCCAGCTGCTTATCTTTCACCTAATTCTGCATATGGTATCAACACCTTCTCCTTCTTGGACCAAACTATCGGTGCCGCCATATTTCCAGCGGGGGAATCTCTGGCTGCACATCGCTGATGGTTCTGACTTTAGCGCCTGATGGGAACAGAGGCGATGACGGCGTCGGAGAGGAATGCGCGACAGCCGTTTCCGACGCCGGCAGAGGATCCAGCTCACGTTTTCTGACCACTCGTGAAAATATTTCACCTTCAGCCATCTGCGCAGCTACTCCAACCCCCCCAACTGCATTGGACCACCAGAGGTCCAATGTAGAATTTGGAACAGGTCAGAGGCGCTAATTGCTGGAAGCACCTGTCACCTTTGGGAGCAAAACACAACCTGCTGGATGAACGGAACGCCACTGGTCGGGAAAGTGATGCAACGTGGGTTTTTAATCACAAACCGGTGGCTCAAAGGCTGGGAAACAACCACTCTCCCGAGAATCCAGCTGCCACGCAAGGTAAGTTGCCAGCAGCTGCGAACGGAACTGACTTCAACAGACGGGCCTCTTTTTTTTTGGTCTCTGAGTCAAAGCTGACAAGAGTAGCCTCTGGCGAATCCCCACAGCTGTGGAGAGGAAATGTGTGGCATGGCCAATCGCCCTCCTTGACAGCTTCCTGAGGATTTACCTGCCGGATTAATGCAAGCAAGCCGGATGGCTTCTCACTTGCAAGGCTCAACGACAGAGACATTTACAAAACTTAGACACTTCATCAGATGTAATCATCTAAAGACACCTATTCCCATAAATTCTCCCAGGAATTCTTTCCCTTTTTCCTGGGTCGCAACAACTGATGTATAAAGCTCCAATTTAGCCAACGTAAAGACAAAAATTGAAATAGATTAAAGTGACTGGGGCTGTTTGACTGTGGCACTTCTCAGAGCAGGTGTTAAGCCTCCTCTTGACTTCATCACACGGCATTAGAAAAAAAAGGATGCCTCCTCGTGATGACTCCAGCTCCTCTGCCTGAGAGGGCTTCACAGAGTCAGCAACCTCTCGCTCCGCTGAGCCATTTTTCTCTTAACACTGCGAAGTTTAGGGGGCCAGGGGTGGGCAGGAGGGTGGAGGGCTGAACGAAAGGGGCCATTTAATGCACAGTAAACAACTAAAGCACTTCAAGCCTTTAAGTCCCGACAGGAGGAGAGAGTCGGGGAGCAAAAGTCGGATAGAGAGATGTGATGAGAGAGGGGGCGGCGGCGGCGGAGCCAAGGGAGAGTCTCTATCCCAGTGGGAGATGACAAATGCCATATGTCCTGAGCACAGCGCTTGTGTTAATCCTCGGTGGGTCCCGGCAGGCCCACATCCGACACTACGACCTCTGTACCCCCTCCACTTTCCAACCACTCTCTCTAAATCCACCGAGGGGAGTGGATCTGGGGGGAAAAATGGCTTGCCGTCTACGAGGAGGCTCGGAATGTTTTTTCTTTTTTCTTCTCTTGATTTCTTTTTTGTTCCCTCTCATCGATACAATTCACTAAACATGATGCATGCCTCTTTTTCAGAGAGCGGGTGTCTCCCCCCCCCCCCCCCCCCCTTCTTTTTGTGCGATAAACATTTTCGAATGTTCAGTCGAGTTGCTCCGGCAGAGCTTTGTCATGTAAGGCGGTGAAATGTAGCAAAAACAATCTTCCTGGAAGTTTGGAGATCAATCATAAAGCTTGTCATCCTTGGAAAGTGATCAGCACTGACGTTTGGGGTACACAATGCGATGAGGCCCCTTTGAAATCTAAAGCGTGTCCAGCCGTGCCAGCTTCAAGCCTTTTTTTTACCTCCCCCTCAGTTGCCTGTCATCACCGTGCAGGGATTCTTCAACAACAGTTTAGACCACGCTTCCCCGACATCCTGGATCACCTGAAGAGCCCGTAAATGAGCATTTAGGGTCAACCTCAGTCCCCGGTGCAGCGCAGATAGATGACTCCAGGCTGCCTTGGTTCAGCCCCTCCCAGGCACTTCGTTCCAGCCATCCGTCTGCGCTCGGGAGACTAAACAAAGTGATGCCTCCGTCCCTTGCCGAAACCCTGAACGGCACCCAGACTGAAACCTGGAGGCCGTTCAGCTGTAATGATGTGGTTAAGGAATGAACTCCCCCTCACTCGTGAGCTGAATCAGCTCCTCGCCTCCCTGAACCCACAGTCAGTGACCGTGTTTGCAGCAGTCCTGATGAGGCTTAATGCTGCAGTCGTGACCACATTAAATAAACTGTAACAGTGACTTCATTTAGCCGCTTTTCCATTTGTAAAACTGCCTTCCTTTTAAAAAAAAAAAAAAAAAAAGGTTATTCCTGGGCTAAATAACACCAAACTCTGTAGATCTGTGTTTATACTGACTTTTTTTTCTCTCTCTCTCTCTAATAAAAATGCAGCCTTAATGGACTTTTTTCTTTCTGGTTATTCGTTCAGGTGAGGCCGAGTCGCGAGATAACTGCGCTAAACGAGGGTTAAAGGTTCACGCGTCACCTGCATATTTAACCGCTCTGTCATTTCAGCGGCTCCTTTCATGAACGCTGAATGATATAAATACAAAATGAGGTGAAAAATTTGTAATTAATCCGCTCTGGGTGACACAGCCAAAGCATTTACCCAGGCCTGCCCGGCCCCGTGTGTCTGGCTAACATTAAGGGGGCTAATTTTCAAAATCCAGCATGCAGTCAATTTCCCAGAATGCCTCAGGGGGGTAAAAAGGTAGGGGATGACAGGAGGGGCTAATTTCACCCGCCTTATTTACCCCTATGCATCATCCAGCAGCGCTCGTCTGACACGAGTGACGGTGGGATTGAAATTAGACCGACTGTGGCTGGCGTTGAGAATTTATGATGGCACACTGACTGGTATTTGTTTGTTCGACGTGTGTGTGTGTGTGTGCGCAGGAGCGTGTGTACAGTAAAGGCATTAGAAGGGAAAGAAATAGGAGGTGCAGGGAAAACCTGGGGAAATACATCTTTTTAATAACAGTCAGTGAGGTTAATGCAGCTTACCTTAGAGCGCCGACAGCAGCAGGAGGAGGAGGAGGAGGAGGAGGAGGAGGAGATGTTATTTGACAGCAGGGGAGACAGACGACAGCAGAATCTGTTTAAACCGGAGTTTACCTACACAGGAGTCAGAACTCTGTGTCTGATTGCTATTTGTTGTACAGGAGTGT